CGACGGGGGATCGTGGCCTCGTCGGGGGCGCGCTCCTCCTGCGCTGCCGCGCGGGCCGTGGCCCCGGGAGCACGGCGCACGGAGCTGCGGCGCTGCTCCACGTCCAGGGCGGGGCCGCGCTTTTCTCGCGTCTGCTCGTGGACGAAGGATTGCACGAAGGATTGCAAAAAAAACCCTTCGAAGGGTTTTTTTTGCAATCCTTCGAAGGGTTTTTTTGCAATCCTTCGTTTTTTTGCAATCCAGGGTTTTTTTTGCAATCCTGGGTTTTTTTGCAATCCTGGGTTTTTTTTGCAATCCTGAGTCCTCCTTCCCCGCCTCGCCCCCAGCACGTCACCCTCAGCACCGCTCTCGTCGTCACCCTCCTCGTCCACATCGCTTTCGCCCGCGCTGGTGCTCGTTGCCGTCTGCCTTCGCCTTCGGCACCTGCTTCGCTCAAAGGATCTTCGTCTTCTCTCGTAACTGGAAGCCGCCAAAGTGCCCTCCCCGGGGAGCCGGATCTATTGTTCGGTTCGCGGAATCTTGGTCTCGGCAGTGCGCATCCATGGTTTGTTCGATGATTCGTGGCCCCAGGAGCGCGGATCCATCACATTGCGGGGCTCACCTGACGGTGGTAACCGCCAATGGGGCTCTCCCGATCCCCTTTGGCTGACTTCGAGTCTGGCAGCCATGTTCGGCTGACCCCTCCCCTTCCTTCCCTCCGCTGACCCGAGTTGGGGAGCTACAGATTGGTTGTCCGAGGTTCACGAGAGAGCATTTACTGATCCTTGTCAGCGCTGACCTTGGTAATTGCATTCCCGAATCATTTATAGGAGGCTGTAGCCTCGGGAGCGCAGGCCACTGCTATATTTTCCTGTGATTTGCAATTGGCTTGGTGGCCTCGGGTGCGCGGCTCATTAGTGTGTGCCAGGGATGGTGGCATCGAGGTCGCGGACCCTTCGTTTCTTTGGAGGGATCATGGCCTTGGGGACCTGGATACATTGTTTTTACGAGCTGAGTGTATTGCTCTTTCTGGCCGAGGGGGTCGCGCGCGTTCTAGGAAACTTACAGGTTCTCGGGCACTAGGCAATTCTGTGTTCCCTGCCGTATATATATATATATATGAAAGAGCGTGTTCTACCGCTGCTGGCGGAAAACCGGGGGGGGTCACTACCGGTTCGAACCCCTCCCCCCCCCCCCTCCGGAAAACCGGGGGGGGTCACTACCGGTTCGAACCCCTCCCCCCCCCCAGTTCATCATGAAAAGGGGGGGGGTCACTACCGGTTCGAACCCCCCCCCCTCGAAAACCGAGTGGGGGTGCGGACAGTGGTGGGGACGGTGTTGGTGGGGACAGTGGTGAGGGGACAGCGGGACAGTGGTGGGGACAGTGGGACAGTGGGACAGTGGTGGGGACGGTAGTGGTGGGGACAGTGGTGGGGACAATGGTGGGAACAGGGGGGACAGTGGACAGTGGTGGGGACGGTGGTGGTGGGGACAGTGGTGGGGGACAATGGGAATGGAAACAGTGGGACAGTGGAGGGTACAATGGTGGTGGGGACAGTGGTGAAGGCGGTGGCGAGGACGGCGGTGGGACAATGGGACAGAGGTACAGTGGGGACAGTGGTGGGGACAGTGGGGACAGTGGTGGGAACAGTGGGACAGCTCAGTGGGACAGCGGAGGAATCAGTGGGACAGTGGGGACAGTGGGGATAGTCGGGCAGTGGTTGGGTCCGTGGAGACAGTGGGGAGATTGGAACCGTGGTGGGAACAGTGGTGGGAACAGTGGGGACAGTGCGACAGTGGTGGGGGCACTGGTGGGGACAGTAGGGACGGTGGTGGAACCAGTGGGGACAGTGGTGGTGAGGACAGTGGTGCTGGGAACAACAGTGGGATGTGATGCGGACGGTGGTAGGGACCGGGAGTCGTTTGCTGGCGGTGCGTGGGGGGAGGGGGGTCGAACCGGTAGTGACCCTCCTCCGGTTTTCGAGGGGGGAGGGGGGGTTCGAACCGGTAGTGACCCCCCCCCGGTTTTCCAGATCTGGAGGGGGAGGGGGGGGGGGAGGGGGGGGGGTTTTTTCGAAGGGGTAGTGACCCCCCCCGGTTCTCGAGGGGGGGGGGGGGGGGGTTTTGGGGAGGGGGGGGGGGTTGCGGGGAGGTGGGGGGGGGAGGGGGGGGTCAGGGGGGGGGGGGGGGGGGGGATTTTCGGAGGGGAGGGGGGGGGGGGGGGCGGGGGATCCGGCCCGGGGGGGCTGGCAATTTTCCAGAGTAAAGCGGCGGTGGATCGCGCTCTCTCTCTCTCTCTCTCTCTCTCTCTCATATATATATATACATATATATACATGTATATAGTATATATGTATATATATGTATATATATATATGTATATATATATATATGTATATATATATGTATATTTGTATATATGTATATATATATACATGTATGTAGTCGCTGGATGAGCTCGAGAGAACAAAACGGAAACTGCGTTAGCTGCCTCGCTGCAGGGAGAGAGGCTGCTCAGTTGCCGGAGCCTGCGTGATCTTCGCGGCGTTGAGGCCCCCCGCAGTGGGGTCGGTGGGTTCGTGATGTACTGCGTGGCTCCTTTCTCGCTGACTGCATGGATCTCAGCAATTGTTTGGCTGAGCAACAGTGTCAATAGTTTGTGATTTGCTTGAAGACGCTGCGAGGCATAATTTTTTGATAAGTAGTCCACATGGTCCAGCTTTAACTATAGCATGCGTGGAAGGCGCTGCGGTGGGCCGAAGAGTTTCTCAGGAGTTCGGCTCGTTGTTGTGTTCCATGCCCGATTCTTTTAAATTCGAAGATTGAGAATAGCGTGTCCAGTGTTCTGTGCTCCTTCCACATGAAATCCTGTTCTGGACGAAATGGGCGGAAAGACGCCAGGCGGACGTAGCCGCTGGGGCTTTCAGTGGAGCCCCCTTATGAGGGCCACGAGCTGGTCGGGAGGACGCCATGCGGACCCCCCACTGGGGCCTTCTGTGGCGTTCCCCATGGGGCCACGAGACGTATGAGGGTTGTTTCGAGATTGGCGTGCGGAGCGCAGAGGTGGGACGGAGCGGGGGTAGGAGGTGAGAGGGAGGAGTAGAAGGAGCCAGGGACGACGGGATGGGGGGATGGGGACTTCCTTGCCGACGCCTGCAGTTCTACTATTATTTGCCCTCGCGGGCCCTCCACTATTCCGCTTCTCTTTGCACCTCCTGCATCGATTAGTTTGCACCTTGGCAATGTTACGTCTGTTGCGGTTGCTAAAGTCCGCCTGACGTAAAACATGAGCGGGTGAGGTGCGGCGCTGTTGATGCAAAACGAGGAACCAATTCACGCAAGATGGTTGGGAAAACGTGCAGCATCGTGAATGATCGCCACCTTTTGCGGCACGACTTGAGCAGGGTAGATCAGGGAAAACGCCCCGCCCTGAAACATGCGTCGTCCGGATCTCGGGGCTCCTCATCCTCATCCCCCCTCGTCTGTCGTCCCTCGTCCCGCTCGTGGCCCCCAGATGGTGCACAAAGGGTTGGGAGTAGAGACAAGCACAGCGCACGTGCACATGAGTTGCCGTACGGTCGCGAACGCTCGCAATGCGAGGCTGGCTCCGCGGCCATCAACAGATTATGAAAAACAAGCGTTTCGCTCGAGAAGTCCTGTCAAAACCCCAAGAAATCAAAATTCCTGCGCGCAGGACGCGGCACGCGCGAGACATCCTCGGAATTCCTGCGCGAGGAGCGCTTTTCCGTGTCACGGTCGGCTCTGCAAAACCAGCGTTTCGCTCGAGACATCCTCAACACGGGGCCTTATTCGTGCACGTGGCCAGGACCCACCTCGATCCTTCCAGCCGAGCGACCCAGTTCGATGCCGGCTCCGGCCGGCCCGCTGCGATGCGATCCCACTTTTCGGGCGATCTCCTCCTCCTCCTCCTCCTCCTCCTCCTCCTCCTCCTCCTCCTCTTCCCCTCCTCCTCCTCCTCCTCCTCCTCTCCTCCTCCTCCTCCTCCTCCTCCTCCTCCCCTCCCCCTCCCCTCTTCCTCCTCCTCCTCCTCCTCCTCCTCCTCCTCCTCCTTCCGATGCGGACCGAGGTTTGCGTGGCGTTGTCGTGCATCCTGGTGCCGCCGATCCGACGCCGACGCCGACTCCGAGCCGATGCAACCCGATGCAGCGCGCATCTCGGCTTGGTACTCCAGATTTCGTAAGAAACGGGAGGGGGTCTCAACCCTCCCAGACGAGAAGTTTTAGACCCCCGCCGTGGGAGAACCCTCCAAAACATCGTCCCCAGACCCCCCCAGGCCCTCCAGGATGGCCTGGAAGAGACCTCCCCCGAAATGAGACCCCCCTCCCTTTTCTTACGAAGTCTGGAGTGCGATTGTCCGAGTCGATGCGGACCGATCTTGGCGTGGCTGGGCGCGCACGTCTTCTCGTGGGCTGCCCAGACTCGACTGCGCCCCCCGAGGGCGAAGGGAGAGGGGGCGGGCCCTCTCGGCAGGCTCAGAAGTCCTCCGTCCTTCTGAGCAGTCTCCTGAGCCTTGCCGTACGTCGGGCATGCTCCTCTACAGGAGGAATCTTCAAACATACTTTACAAATAACTAGCCGGGGGAAGATCTGTTTGAGTATGTTATGTTTTTTGTTGTTGATGATTTATTCTGGCTATGTTTGGTTTTTCGTCCGAACACTGTCTGTAGGAGGGCACGCCCGACCTATGCCTTGCCCAGAGACGCAGGAACTTTCTCGGAAGGCCAAAGAAGCCCCGTCGCCTTCTGAGAAGGCCTCCTCCTCGCTTCCCTGCCCGGCGCGCCGCTGTCTCTGGTCGGACGGGGCTGGGACGAGGAGAAACATGTTCCAGAGCGTTCCGGAACGCTCTCAGAGCATTCCAGAACGCTCTGAGAAGGTCGCGACGACCGACACATCCTCCAGAGCCGCTGGATTTCAGAGATTCTCGATTGATCCTCACCCCATGTTCTGATCGTCCTGGCTTCGTCTTATCTGGGCTCCCTAGAAAGGGCGCCGCGCCGGAAGGGCTTCTACTGGTTCTTCCGCTACTGCGTCGTCTCCATGGTCTGCTCGGAGGTCCACGGGCTGCCCCTCCGCACCTCTCACTGCTGGGATACGCAACTCCTGGGAGGTCACATTCCACATCGGTGCTGGTGTGCAGTAGGAACCCGACCACAAGAAACCTTCTCGAGAAACCCAACCCTAAAGACCCCAGGACGTCCATTGATTTTTTGTGTGGGAGCATCACACTTTCCACAGCAAAACTATCGAAACCTAAGAAATCCAGGGCACCCAGGAGGCAAGCAGGCTGTTTCTTGGCCCTGGTCGAGAACCGGCCTATTCTGGCCGACTCCCGCTCGATCCGGCTCAGTCCCGCAAAATCCGGAGCAATCTCGCCCAATCCAGCTTACACCCGGGCCTCATCTGCACCGATTCGACTTCATGGCTCCTCATAGCTAATCGGGGTTCAAAGCCCTCAATCGTTCTGACGAAGGCCTCCCAGCAATTGCCTCCCAATCACTGTCCCCGGACCACCCCGCAAAGGGGGTCCAAGCAGGATGAGGGCCAGAGGGTCGCGCCGCATCGCCGATGCATCGGCGATGCGGCTCGATGTGTCACCATTCCCCAACCACCCCAGCCCATTCCGAAGGCCTCAGTTTGCCCTCCATTTCCAGTGGGGGGGTCGGGGAACATGGGATAAACACGCACACACGGAGATCGTAACCCCCCCCAACCCGAGATTCGGCTCTTGGGGTCGTCATGGCGTGGTCTGGTAGGTCGTCAATGTGGAGCCCGATTCCCTCCACCCCGAGATACCGGTGGCACTGCCATTCCGTCGTCTACTCGGCTGGTTTCGCCAAGATGTCCTCGTTGGAGCGCACCCCCCAACTTTCTTGCGTCGGCGGCTAGGCAGAGTAATGGCGCTGGCGGAAAAGCTATATACACGGGACGCCGTTGTAGCGAATTGCGCCACACTGCAGCAAAAAGGGGGGAAAGACGGATGTCGGGGGAACGCAAGACCTGAGTAAGCCGGAACTCGGGTGTGCCGACGTCTTTTTGACGAGCGCGTCCTGGATTCTGACGGCCCAGTTTTCGTGGGATGTCTGCAGCGGGAGCTCGCGTCAAATTTCAGATTGTCGGGCCGGGCGAAAGGGGGGGATTGGGAAAGGGGGGGTTAGGAAATTCTAGACGCTTCGCGTATCCCCACCAGCCCGTCCAGAAATGAGTCCCAGGGGAGTGGAGGTTATGAGGGAAGCGGGGGAGCATGCAGAAGAACAAAGGGTGGGGTGAGCCGCCATATACCCCAAGAGGGGGAGGATGTAGGAGGAGCCGTCGTCGTCGGAGTAGGAGGAGGAAGAGGAGGAGCAGGAGGAGGAGCAGGAGGAGGAGGAGGAGGAATAGAAGGAGGAGGAGATGGAGGACTGCGAGGACGAGGAGGACGAGAAGGAGGAAAAGGAGAAGGAGGAGGAGGAGGAGGAGGAGGAGGAGGAGGGGAGAGGGGGAGGAGGGAGGAGGAAGAAAAAGAGGAGGAGGAGGAGGAGGAGGAGGACAATTGCGAGCTTGGGGGCCTCTTGGGCCGTCCTTGGGGCCTCTTGGCGGTCCCGGGGGCCTCTTGCGTATCTCGGGGAGCCTCTTGTGGCCTCTTGGGGGTCTCTTGGGGGCCTCTTGGAGGCCTCTTGGGGGCCTCTTGGGGCCTCTTGGGGCCCTCTTGGGGCGCTCTTGGGGCGCTCTTGGGAGCCTTCGAGGCGCTCTTGGGGCCATCTTGGAGGAGATCTATCAAAGAAGGGGGGGTCCCCAATTAGCGCTGCCCCTCTAGAGTGCCTCGAGTCGCCTCTTGGGCCCCCCCAAGAGGCCAAAATCCTTCCAAAACCTAGGTAAAATCAATGTTTTTTGTTTTCTCGCCTTTTCGCTCTTGGACCCGTCTTGGGAGCCTCTTGGGCCTCTTGGGGGTCTCTTGGGAGCCTTTTGGAGGCCTCTTGGGCGCCTCTTGGGGCCTCTTGGGGCGCTCTCGGGGCGCTCTTGGGGCGCTCTTGGGAGCCTTCGGGGCGCTCTTGGGGCCATCTTGCAGGAGATCGATCAGAGAAGAGGGGGTCCCCAATTAGCGTTGCCCCTCTAGAGTGCCTCGAGTCGCCTCTTGGGCCCCCCAAGAGGCCAAAATCCTTCCAAAACCTAGATAAAATCAATGTTTTCTGTTTTCTCGCCTTTTCGCTCTTGGAGCCGTCTTGGGCCATCTTGGACTCTCTTGGGGCCTCTTGGGGGTCTCTTGGCAGCCTCTTGGAGGCTTCTTGGGGGCCTCTTGGGGTCTCTTGGGGCCCTCTTGAGGCGCTCTTGGGGCGCTCTTGGGAGCCTTCGGGGCGCTCTTTGGGCCATCTTGGAGGAGATCTATCAAAGAAGGGGGGGTTGCTTATTAGCCCCGCCCCTCCAGAGTGCCTCGAGTCGCCTCTTGGGCCCCCCCAAGATGCCAAAATCCTTCCAAAACCTAGGTAAAATCAATGTTTTGTGTTTTCTCGCCTGTTCGCTCTTGGAGCTGTCTTGGGCCATCTTGGACGCTCTGACACCTCGCGACCGGCCCTGTCCAGGTCAGTGGGGAGGGGTAAGGGGAGGGGTAAACCCCTCCCCGAAGGGGAAGAAGGGGGTTGGCAGAGGAAACTCCCTAGACCACCTACGCCCTAAAGGGCTGGTGGGATTTGCTGCATGCAGCTGGTTTCGGCCTCACCGAGGGGCCCATTCCTCGATACATAGCCGCCTCCGGCGCCGGGAGGCGCCGGGAAAATCAGCTGCGTGAGCTGATTCTCAAACCCCCCCTTTGCTATCCCCCCCTTTTGCCCGACCCGAGATTGGGCCTCGTCATTTCTGTGATGGCCCCGTCGGGCCAGCCCGAGTCCCCCGTACCCGAGCCTCACGTCTCCCCGAGGATGGCGGCCGAGGCGGCGGCGTCGGGGCCCGGCGTCGCCCAGCAGCGCCGGGGAGGGCCCTCCGGCGGCGGCTCCTTCGCCCCGGGGGAGGAGGAGGAGGAGGAGGAGGAGGAGGAGGAGGAGGAGGAGGAGGAGGAGGAGGAGGAGGAGGAGGAGGCCGAGGACGAGGACGAGGACGAGGACGAGGACGAGGACGAGGACGAGGAGGGGAGGAGGAGGAGGAGGAGGAGGAGGAGGAGGAGGAGGAGGAAGAGGAGACGAGGACCAGGACGAGGACCAGGACGAGGACGAGGAGGGGAGGAGGGGAGGAGGAGGAGGAGGAGGACGGAGAGGAGGAGGAGGGAGGAGGAGGAGGAGGAGGAGGAGGAGGAGGGGCGAGGGCCGCTCGGGGGAGCCGGTCCCGCCCGAAGCGGGCGGCGCGGCCGGCTCCGCCGGCGGGGACGGCGGCGGCTGCTGCGCCGGGGGGTGCCAGCGACGGCGGGGTCGTCGTCGTCGTCGTCGTCGTCGTCGTCGTCGTCGAGGGCGTCGTGGTGGTCGTCGTCGTCGTCGTCGTCGTCGTCGGCGTCGTCGTCGTCGTCACCGTTTTCGTGGTCGTGGTCGTTCTCGTGGTCGTGGCCGTGGTCGTCGTCGTGCGGGAGCCGAACGAGTCCAGCGGATCAGATCTACGATTAAGTCGGGCCTGTTCTTCACCACCCACCAAACCACCCCAACCCAACCCGAAGGCCTCATTTTGCCCTCCGTCTCCAGTGTGTGGGGGGGGTCCGGGAACATCGGGAAAACACGTATGGAGCCCATACCCCCCGCAACCCGAAATTCGGGTTTTCGGGTTGGGTTGGGGTGGTCTGGTAGGTAGTCAGTTCTCTCTCTACAGGAGGAAAATTCAAGAATAGCAACAACAAAGATGGTCTGGGTACTCTCTTTTGAGCATTCTTGGGCATCTTTTTGTTGGGGGCCTCTTTGGGGGGGCGTTTTATGTTTCGTCGCAGGTCCCCCTGCAAGGGGGACGCGCCCGACGCAGCGATGCGGTCGGGGGCCTGAGGACCAGGCGGCGCCCCCCCGGGCAAGAGGTGCCAGCCCCTCCTCGGCGCGGTGCCCCCGGAAGTCCCGACCCTCCTCTCCCATCGGGAGCCTCGAGGCGGGGGTCAACACAGACGGGGGTCAGCCAGGGCGCCCGATCCTGCAGGATCCTGCGAGGACCCCCATCCTGGCTGACCCGTGTCAGGGAGCCGCTCGTGGCCGCGGGGCGGCCGCGCGCATTGGCTGACCTGACCCGGGTCTGCGAGGACCTGCGGTGCAGTTGTTGTTTCTCCTGCATTGCAGTTTTTGGTTTCCTGCTGACCCGGGTCTGGCTTGACCCGGGTCAGGGGATCCCCGATCCCAGGCGGCGTTTGATCCCGAGCCGCTTATCGTAATCGCCCCGGGGCCCAGGAAGGGCCCCAAGGACCAGGCACCCTCTGCCGCAGAGGGTTTCTCACGACGCATCGGGGGGCCGTCTCGGTATCCTCCAGGAGGGAGCAAGAAAAAACGACGGGCGCGAGCAACCGTCGGCTTCCGCGAAAGTAGGGGGGACACAGGGAAAGGGGGGGAGAAGACGAGCACCCCGAAGAGATGGGAGAGTATGGGGGAGTCCTAGGACTTGTGTCTGCTTATTCGTGTGTCCGTGGGCCCGCTAGTCTCTTGGTTGCCCTAGGGCGTCGTCGGTGCGTCGGCGAGGCGGTGCGACCCTCTGGCCCCTTCTCAGCTTCCCCCCCTTCTCTAGGGAGGCCTCTGCACGTGCATGGGGCATGATGCCAGGGAGGGAAGGGTGTAGGCAGCAGGGATGGGAAGCCGGAGGGGAGGAGACAGGTGAGTGCGATGATCGAACAATTTTTCCCGTCGGCGGCGAGACGGGCGCAGTCCGCTCCAGCGCGTGGCTATTCGGGGCAACGGAGAGGTTCACGGGCGGTGTGCAAGACGGAGGGAGGAAGACGAGAACGGCCGCGCGGTGGATGGGGGAGGGGAGAGCGCCGAGACGTGGAAGAGTCACGCGTCGAGCGATGATCGAAAAGCACTCGCCTGCATAAGCAGAATTTTCGGAGAGTCGCGCGGATGTCGCGGGCCCGCGCTTGGCCCCCCCTCCGGGCGCCGCTCCAAGGGAAGGGCACGCAGAGCTCCGAGAGA